TGACCCTGCGACAGTGCTGCACCTGGCACGCGAACCGGTGTCGCGAAAATCGCAAGCGTCCGATCCCAGTTCTACTTTTTAGGCATGTATGGCATGTATTTGCTCCCGCTACATGCGCGCACATTTTGCTCGTTCGTGTTTATCCTTCTCTTGTCTTCTGTCGGAGAGCTGGCTTTGCTTTGGTGTCCGTACCACGGAATGAGTTCTTCTAAACATCCTCTGATAGTATGGGGTACTCTTCGAACAAACTGCTCCAATGACAGGTGACGTGATTTGGGCCCTTATCTTACGCGGTTGGGTGCAAGAGGGTTGCTTGTCTAAGGGTTGTTGTATTGCACCCTGGGACTACACCCGCTGGGTATTGACCTTAATTAGGCACATTTCCGGATAAAACCGTGCTATTTTGAGCCATTCTGCGTCATTTCTTCCCCAAGGGTGTAATCCCAGGGTGTAATACAAAAACCCTCAGAGCTTGTGACAAAGGCTTGGACCTCCGCGGGCCCACCGCTGCAATGGCTGGAATGGGACCTGGGCCAGGCGCGACGATGAAGATCAAATCGCATGTCAAAAGTAATGTGGAACAGTTCCTGGAATGTTGGTCCAATGTTTCTAGTCGTTTGGCCGCTTTTTCAGGGTTCAACGTTCCCTCCCCCCCATTCTTGACCCTGAAACTCTAAAGCCCTAAAGCTGTAAAACCCTAAGCCCCCACCTCCCCCATCTCCCCCACCCCCCGCCCACCCCGCCACCCCCCCAACCCTCAGCCCCCAACAGTGCGTTTCGTTCCTTACAGGCGCGGCAGGTGGTGGAGTTCTCCATCACCGCCGGGGAGTGCACAGCCTGCACCACCCAGGAGGGGCCCGCCATGGTCTCCCTGCAGGCGCGGCCTCCGGCCTCGGACCGGTGGGTTTCGGAGTTGAGAACCCCTTTCTGGGTTTATTTTCCAAGGCCCTCAGCTAGGTGCCTTTTTTACTCTTTTTTTGGTTGGGAGGGTTCCGAACCCTACTAAAATAGACTACAGAGAAAAGTTGGTGCCCTTATTCTAACCTCTCCTAAAGGCCCCTAGTCTCGCAACTGACAGGGGGGGCCTGGAAGACCATTTTCCTTTCAAAGGGGCCGGGTCCCTGTCAGGTTCCACGTGAATTGGTTGGAGGGCAAGGGAAAATCGCAGGAAACCAAGATTTGTAGGTCAGCGGCAGGTTTGCCTTAAATAAACTGCACAGCTTCCACTTGATATTCCGTCTTAAACAATGTATTATCATAGTCAAATCAGTAGAATTGATACGAAGAACTGCGACCTGCTTCAGGACCAGCAAATTATATTTTCTACCCATTGCCGTGTGGCAACTTCTTCGAATTTGCCGAATGGTTTCGCTTTGGCAGACTGCGATCTAGTTTGTCTAGATCGAGGGTTGCTTTTGAAGAGAAACATTTGTGAAAATAGCGGTCTTCTATGTCCTAAGTCAACCCTTGCTGGGCCACCTTTCGCTCATCACGCCGCTGTATAAGCCCAAAGTCCTACGCGTCGGAAGGCCTTGTCCGGCTCAGGGTCCCAAATCGTAAGGGTCTATAATCATGTCCCGCCTTCTTGCATCTGTCAAACAGGCAACATCCCCACTGCTTGGCTGAGCACACGGCCCAGCCGAGGGCCCCCCACTGCTCCAGGCCTGCAGGGAAGCCACCCAAACCGGCCGTGATCGAAACGCAGGCGACCAACGCGGCGACCTCGGCCCAGCGTTCCTGGCTGGAGATCCGGCCAGAGTTCAGTGTGGGGCCCGTGTGGGCCTCCGGAGAGACCCGGAGGCGGGGTGGCTCAAAGTGCCCAAAGGTTGTGGTTTCTAAGAGCAAGGGTTCCACCCAGGCCTATGAAGAATGTCTGGTTATCCAGCTCAAGCCCCAGGACTCTTTGGGGGGAGTTGAGTGGCACTTTGATCCAATTTGTCCTGTCGAAGGCTCCAAGGTCCAACTTGCTTGTCCCAAGACCCAGTTTCGACGTGGATTGGACAGAGCTCAGGCAATTGAGTCTTTATAGGATGGGGTGGGAAGCATAGAGAAACCTCAAAAGCCAACAGAATGCAGGCTTGGAATCGGCACAGCAGCACAGACCTCTATTGTTCATGTTTGAGGGATGGGATGTGCAAAGCTTTGCATTGCTGCAATCGGAACCCGTGTATACATATATATATATATATGTATATATATATACATACCCCTGGTCGATAGGGTGTCCCATTCAATATGCAATGCTGTGTGGGTTCCCTATATGAAACCGAGATCGACTTTGACTCGTTGCCGTGCGGCTAGTGTCACGCACCCCCCTCCCCCAAACGTTATACTGGGATCTCTGTTGAAATTTCAGATGTTTAGACCATGGACCGGAATCAAATATTTTGTGTTGGGTTGGGGGGCAAAAGACGAGGCTGTTCACTCGTCAATCGGGTGCTATGTATTCCTTGAATGCCGCAGACAAACACACTGCAGAAATTGTCTCTGTGCTCACTGTTTGTTTTGGGGGTAATGAGCAGGTTCGTTCTATATCTGCGTGATACTGCCATGGCGACCACGTCACCTGCGCACGGTGCCCCAAAACATTAACGCAAATTGGTGCATGCTGAAACCATGTTTGTTGCAGCTCGAAGCATTCGGTGGATACACATCTGGACACAAGTATGGGAGCTGAAGGAATCTTCCTACAAACACATGTCAATGTCTCTAGGCCCCAACCCTGCGTTGAAGTGAGGGTACATGTGAGCATTTTGTCAGCCACGCCTTCCACTTGCTTAAGATCATTGATGATCCCTGGTGTTCAAGGGAAATGATCATGATTGGTCACTATTTTACATTTCTTGGGTGCAATCGCACATGATGACATCGACACAGGCCCCCTTTTGCGGCCAAAGCCTATGTTTCAGAGCCCCCGACCGTGGAATTGGGCTGTTGTCACCCTCGCTCTGCTTGTGTTGACCCCACAACCCAAGAGGCTACAAACATAGTAGGGTGTCAAACGAGTGGCCATGTCGTGCAGGTTCAGCTTGCCAGAGGGTGGCACCTTCAACTTCCAGTACTGGCGCCTGAACTTCCATCAGACCTTTGGCGGTGCCGCCTACCAGGTCCATGTGTCGGAGGTTGGCGGGGAGCCCCAGCTGAGGGACCTGGTAAATGGAAAGGACGTAGATGGCACCTAGGAGGTTCCGTCACAACTCAACACATGATTTGTATAGCTGTTTTTTTTTTTTTAGCTGCAGGGGGTGCTGGAATGGAGTATGTGTTTCTGGGGCTAATTCCTTTCTTGGGGTGTTCACTGCTTCAATGACAGTTTTCCCTTGGGGTGGTCTAGCAGCAGGGGGTGGAGTTGATCCGTGCTTTAGCGCACAACTACCCTCCCAGGTGTAAGGATCTAATGTTGCTCAGTGGAAAGAGATCCACCACGGATGCTGAATATTGTCCTCACAGATACGTTCGATGGTTATGAACATTGTTATGTGTGTATATACATATACACGATTGTTTTTGTACACATATGCATGCACATATATATATATATATTATATATATATATATATTACACATATACATACGTACGTACGTACGTACGTACATACATACATACATACATACATACATACATACATACATACATACATACATACATACATACATACATACATACATCTATATACATATATATATATATATATATATGTATCGGCTGTATAGGTATGTACATATGGCATACACGTGCTGCTTTTTCCTTTTCTTCTTTTATTCGGCGCGGGAGCAAAGTCTCAGGTCTCTACGCGCCCGCCACGTCCTATCGCCTGGCGGTGGGCGCCTGGGGCGCCTGTGGGGCGGTGGGGGGCTCCGGCGCCTGCGGCGCCGGCCTCGTGCGGCGGGAGGTGCACTGCTTCGACGTCGAGGCCGACGAGTGGTGGGGCTGGTGGGGCTGGTGAAGCCTGGAAGAGCGGCTTCCTCCAAAATGGGTCTGGTGGGCTGCAAGGGAGGAGAGTTGCAGGTTTCTTTTTACTTTGAGATATCTTGAGTTGCAAAGTTCTGGTTGGTTTCACGGATGAGTTCCTTTTGCTTCAAAATGCTGAGCCCCCAAACGGATTTCCTTTTCCTTCCAGGATGACTGAACAAGTGCTAAAAGGGAACTGGAGTGGGTCAGGGGACCCATACTAGTGGGTTGCACATACTGTTTCGTGGGGAGCTGGAACTACAGTACCAAACAAGGAAAAACCCTAGGTCTCGCTATTTTGTCTCCCCCTCCCTTGATGGTTCCTGGGACTGCCTTGCTGCAGAGCTGATGACGGGCACTTAGCTATTTTCGACTCTTGCGTTTTGGTCCATGTGCCATCCTACGGCACGAGGAACCATCAATCTCACGTAAAAATGGGAGCCCGGTAAACAAAGCCTACAGCAGCGTAAGGGGGAACGCCACAAGTCCCTGCAAAAGAGGAACCCAACCAAAATACGCACGGATTTTCCCGAACGGCTCGGAGCACAGACATGTTGTGCTTATTTCGGTTTCGCAGTCGCCCTCAAACAAATCCCCCAGCTCTCGGATTCCCCAAAAAACCATGAGAATCGAAGTTGGCGCCGGTCCGGTTCCCAGCCCAGAGGGTCCAAGTACCTCCTAAGGAGGTACCAAAACCCCCTTTTTACCCCCCAGAGGCCGTCCTGAGGAGGTACCAAGGGGGACTGTGGGCAGGACTACGTGGTGAATTTGGAGAACTGCGAGGAGGGCACCAGCACCAGCACGGAGCAGAGCTGCGTGCTGGACTGCCCTCAGCTGGTGGTGGCCTCCGCTGTGGCCCATGCCAACTTCTTCGGGATTCTGAGGCGGGCGAGCGCGCGCTGGGGCGGGCTAGGTGGGGGATGGTGGGGGGGTGGCAGATCACTTGGCGGTGTTGCAACACCCACCCATGAACTCCCCCTCCCCCCTAAAAACAAACAAACAAACAAACCGGTCTAATCGAAAACAACCGAGTAATCCCCCAACTGCCCCCAAGGCGGTTGCGAAGTTGACTCTTGTGTTTGTGGGGAGACAGTGAACTTCATTGAGATGGCCGTTTAAAACCTGAAGGAAAGCAGTCCTTTGGTATACTTACAGGTTGGCGGGAGGGGAGGGGAGGGGAGGGGAATCAATGTGGGGTGTTTTGGGGGGGGGCTTGAAGGAAGCCAAGGCTCAAGTTTTTGCAGCCGCAGGAAAGGCGGACTGCGGATGCAGGGATGAGGCGGTCCCAAATATTCTGATTGGTCTGGATGGCTTGACAAACTCAAACAGGCGGGATACTTAGGTCTTAGAATTTGGGACCTGGGCTGGCCAAGGCCTTTCGACACGTAGGACTTTGGTGTTCCATGCAGCGGGGTGATGGGCGAATGATGGCCTAGCATGGTTGACTTATTTGGGTTCCTGAGCCAAGGATCGAACCTCGGTGTTTCTAGGGTGTCCCTTTTGAGACCAACTGGCCACCCCATGGGAACATCCCTATGCGCCTTTCACTCTGAGAGCGTTTTTGTTATGCGTCCTGCTCGCAAGCCATCTCAGCTTCAGACACCAGAAGTTCCAAGGCCTCCAGGCGAGTGCGACACATGAACTGCATGCTGACGAGGGACTTTGCAAGCGGGACCACCTAAACGAAGGCACAAAGTGGGTCTCAATGAAATCTCCAGTCACCCAGTCAGCACCAGCAACACTTGGGGTCATTGCCATAAGACAGCCCCGTTCCCCATTTGCAAGACCGACCGGGGGGCGGGGGGGTTGAAAATCGATTCCCCAGCAATATTACGAGTCCTTGCATGAGTAATACCACAAGGAGCTTCACCAGGGTCACCTGCTCACATGGATGCCTTGCGACCGTGCGGTTACGGAGATGGGGGACGAGATCTTGGAGACTTGGCAAAGGCGGGCTCTTTGGGTGATGGCGGGAAGTATGCGTTACAAGTAGTACCGCGCAAGGCGGTGGCGGAAGTTTCTAAAAAAGAACCACTATAGGAGGCTTGAACAACCAGGGCAAACATGTTTGGGGCCAAATTGAAAACCAATCATGTTTTGTTTGTGACGAACATGGCCAAACGGTCACAAAAGAAATCAACAGGTCATGTCTTCACAGGCAACTATTCCACCGCTCGGACAAAAACTGGAAAGAAAACCTGGCTGACAGGGAGCCTGCCTGACCGCAAATGTTTGACAAGTCTTAAGCCTCCATCATTTACCCTTTGTTACCATCCGCCCGCCCGTTGTCCCACCGGCTCTTTTTCCTTTTTATGCGGGCAGATTCACTTTGTCTCTGTTCAAGGCAGCACGGTCAGAAAAGACGCATGCTGCCAGGCAAGGCACACTGCAAGGCACACGGCCTGGCAAGCGCCGGGCGGTCAGAAAAGACGCACCCTGGCGCATCTCAAGCGCATTCAGCGCTGTCTTGTCAAGCGTTCAAGGTCATCGTGCACCTCTTGCGCCGCGGTGCGAAGCTGGAGACACTCGTCAATGTCATTTTGCTCGAAGGCCGCGGGGAAGGCCTATGAGCATCACGCGGTCATCGCCGTCTGCTGCTCTTTCGTCCGCACGGGCCACAAAGCCTAACTCCTGCAAAAGCGTGCGAAGATACTGGCTGGCCCGCTGGTCTCGCGCGCGCGGGTCAGCCCCTTTGCTTCCGATCTCCGTGTACCTCAAGTATCGCTGCGCGTTCAGAGTGGCCATGATGCCGTGTTTTTTGTTGAAGCCATGCCAGTGTGGGCACACGGTGCCAAAGCCCATAAGCTGCTTGTGCCTGCGACATCTTCCAAGAGGGCATGTGTCGTGCACCAAGTAGTGCTCGATGTCCCCCGCATCGTTTAAGTATCCAATGGGGCGATACTTTTCACCCCACATGGTGCAGCAAACGGGTCGCACCACAGAGCGGGCAGCGTGGTGCCTCTTGCGGTAGTTATGCGCCACCCAGCCGGCATCGGCATCGCCAGGACGCGTGCGCTGTGCTCTGATGCCGCAGCCTAAAAGAAAGTCATACAAGGCAACATCCCAAGCCTCCTGGCGCGCCAAGTGCACGGAAGCACACATGCCCAGCATGAGCTCCACGTGTGCTCGCAAGTGTGGATGCATCACACTGTCGGGCCTCAGCGTGGCCATGATTTCAGCTCCCAAAGCTTGCAAGTGGATTTGCGCTCCAAGGGCTGAGACAGGGGCAGAAAAGCCGCCTGCGTGGCCAGCAGCAGGGGCAGAAAAGCCGCCTGCGTCTGACATCCACCAAGGCATGCCGAGATTGGATTGCTCGAAAGAGGCTCGCCAGTCCCTTGAAAGCAGGACGTGCCCCAAAGTCATATCTGCAGGCACCGGCAACGGGACTTGCAAGCAGACATCCGTCTCGGAGATCACATTGTCCCGCGAAGTGTTTAGGGGCTCACCAGTGTTGTCGCCCCAGTTCACCTCCATCGCCCCGGCCGAGCATCGAATGGCCGGCAAGGCTCTCGGCAAGGGCAAAGCGCCGCTTGCCTCCAAGTAAACATCGTGCTCCATAAAGGACCGCCGTGTTCAAGGCAAAAAAGTAAAAGCGCGGGTGCGCTTGGAAGCGACCGTCGGCTCGCAGCAGCATGTGTTTGATCCACTCCCAGAAAGAGAGCGGCTGCTGGTTCTCCGCTCGCTCCTGAACATGGGCCCAGTAGTCCCCCTGTCCCAGCGGAAAGAGTTTGAGGAACCCTGCAGCGATGTAGTACGGGTGATCCTCACGGATGAGCACGTTGCGAGACAGCACTGTGGGGGGATCCACAATGGGCAGGCCTGCCACACGACCTGCGCCGTGGCGCTGAAGACTGGCTGAGGCCAGCACATCTGAGCGATGTGCATCGCCCAAGGCATTCCAAAGATCCTCTTGCATCTCTTGCTGCGTTTGCTGCCCCGCCAAGTCTTCGGGAGACCAAAAGCCTTCGGGAGTCAGCGGCTGCTCCTCCCAGGCCGACAGCTCTTGCACGGCTGTCAACTCATCGTGCAAAATTTGCTCAACTTGGTCGTGTCCCATGCTTGGCTGGTCTGTCAAAGGGCGGTCAGAAAAGACGCACCGCTGCTGCGAGACTAAGTACCCCACGAGAGTCGAGGTGACCAACTCATCTGGGCCACCGACAGCTGCAAAGTCCAGCTCGTCGAGCTTTTGTCTCAAGCTACACCAAGTTTTCTCCATGCGGTCAGCATCACTGACGCTCTCTGGCGGCTCGTGCAAAGCTCGTACTTGCGAGGCCAGCTGCAAAGACAAAGTGCTGGAAATCCACATCGCAAAGCTCTTTTCGATCTGGGGCCAGATCTGCTGCTGCACTTCCTGCACCTCCAAGCCCTCAGGCTCTGCTCCCTCTTCAGTGTTGGAGTACTGCTCCAAGTTTGCACGGTTCACGAAGCCGCAGTATCCTTCGGGAGTCAGGCCACCCGGGCGCAACGCCGCGGAGCCTCCATCTTCGACTGGCCGGCACAGTCGGTTCAGGGCACGCTCGAGACGCCGGCGCGAGACCAGAAAAGGTACTCGCTGCTTCCTGTGCACATCCTTGCTGCAGCGGCGTATCAGGAGCATTTTCATGTCTCCAACTGCAGCAGGAATGTCTCGCACGAACTGCGGGCCGTTTTGAAAAAGGTTGCCCACGTGGCCTCGCAGCTCACACTGGCCCGTGCCGTACAGCGTAAAGATCCGCACCAAGTGCTGGATCGGGGACAGGATCTCTTCCTCGAAGAAAGTCAGGGCATCGATCTCCGGGAGAGTCTCTCCCGGATCTGCGTGGTTGGCCGCCGTCAAGCGGAACGGCTCCTTGGGCAACATCGCCTTGGCACGTTCCTTGGCTTCGTGCAAGCAGTTCTCACAGATTGGCTTGCCGGCTTCCAGCCAATCGGCCTCAGGTGCCCGACAGAAGTTGGTCTTCTGAAACGCTTGGGTCTCGAAGCCTCCGGGCAGGCCACTCTTGCCTTTGCCTGCGGCAATGCCGAACCAGCCTTCCTTGCAGTAATGGCAGTCCTGAAACTCCATGCTCAGCATGTAGGAGTCCACCTCATGCACACGGTGGAAAAACGGCATTATGCGGCCTTCGGCGTCCATGCTGTTGCCGTACAACTGCCGTAAGCTCTTTGGCAGCCGAGGCCGCGGCAAGTGGTCCCCTAAAACTGTCTCACTGGCGTGCAGCTTTGGCTCATGCCATGCCTTTAATGGCATGTGTTCCACTTCGATGAGAAGCGGCTGCAGCGCCCTGCGAACACGCTCTTGGTCCACCAGAAAAAGATGGCACCAAGTTCTCCGGAAAAAATCATAGCCGAAGCGAAAATCATCATCGGCTTTCTTGCCATGGCCGCTGAACAGCTCCTCGGCACAAGTAGCTCGCAGTGCCTGCAGCTCGGCCTTTCTTTGCTGAAGCATAGTCAAAAACTTTTCGACCAGAGCGGTTTCGGAGACACACAAGTCACGCTCCCAGCCTTGCACGAGTGCTTCTTGCTCCGGCGACAGATGCTGTCTGTATCTTTTGAGAAACATAGCACAAAAGGAAGAGCTTACATCAGCTCCCTGGTCAAGGCTTTGCAATGCCTTCACCAGGGAGCTCTTTTCTTGAGCTCGCAGCACGGCAGAGTAAGCTTGGACAAAAGCACTCAGCCTTGCAAAGCTTCGTTGAAGGCCGGCCAGAAAAGGCGCAGCCTCCAACTTGGACTTGTCACAAAGCACAAACTCCCAGTCTTCTAAATGCTCTTTCTGGTCGGCATTCAACAATGCCACGTGCCTGTCGAAGAAATTCTTAGCTTGCTTCCAACGTGTGTCGGAATTCGCGCGGTTGCTGCTGACAACAGCTGACAAGCTTTGCTTCTGTAGCTGAGCAATTTC